TTGCAATCGAATGGGTCATTTGCATAATTATTGTATGATCGGATCCTGCACTAAATACGCCTCAAATGGTTCATATACCTTAGGGTTTTGGGTTGAATTGGGAATTTTTTTTTTTTTTTTGGGGCTCATGTCCCAAACCTTTTGGTATCAAGAATACTTTGCGGCTACAAAAAATTTGATTTTAAACCCAAGAGGTTTAGTGTTTTTCTTTTCTTTTCTTGGGGTTTTGAAATATATATTAACTTTTATGAAAATAATTTTTTTAGTTGGTCAATTCTTTTTTTTCATTATTATTGGTTTGGTGATAAAGACGGTTTATATTGTACTATAACCCTCCGGGTTTATAGTTGTTTGATTCCCAAATCAGTTTACGCCGGATGCACTTCTAAATGTTTACATGGATTGTTACTAGCTCAAGAGCCAGGTATAGTTGCCTCTCTTGATTTTGGAAAATCAATGTATGTTTGTTTTGATACTCTTAAAAATTATTTTTCTAAAACTCCATAGTTCATAATTCTTGTATGGTTACTTTTGAACTATGATGAAAATTTTGTTTTGATTTGTTCTTTTGAATTCATTATATAAGCACAAATAGATGATTCAAATTTTAAGTATGCTTTATAATGTATTCTTTATGTGGTTTGATCAATTTATACAAAGAAAATTTTCTTCTTTGATCAAGCATTGTTTTTGGACTCAAATCTTGATTTATGACTTCATTTGAGTGATTTGTTTTCCCTTGAAAACTTTTTTTATGGTTCTCATGTTTTCCTCATTCTTTATTTTCATAAATCTTTTTTTATACACTATGTTTTTAAAGTTGTGTAATGAGACACTTCTTTCATATTTATATGTGTTCTCATTATCTTTTTTGTATGTGAGTACTTATGTTTAGCATGTTTTTAATCTATGCTTTCTCACATATGTATGCCTTAGCATTCATTTCATACATTCATGAGGTATTTTGATAAGGGAAGCAATCCCTATATCTTTCTATGTGTTATACTCACTCATGCATATTGATAGGGGGAGATTTCGCTCTCTTCATTCTTTTGTTTTTCCCTTTGTGATGTGTTCAAAGGGGAAGAAATATTATGAGTATATTCTTTTTTGTTTATATGCATGTGAATTAAAATTTATATATTCATTTCCTTTCATGCATATATCATTTTTGTAAATTGTTTGTCATCATCAAAAAGGGGGAGATTGTTAGCCTTCTTATTTTGATGATATTTAACAAACGATTTACTTCTAATGTTGTTTGTCTAGTGTTTGTGTTTCATATTTATTCTAGGCAAACAACACATTAGAAGATGGATGGAATTGCGCTTCATCGAACATATCTAATGGAGGTTGGTGGAATAGTGGTTGAAGCCTATACAATTCAAGTTAAAGATCCAATTACAAGCTTCATCCGCAAGTATACCAAGTTGAGCTCATTGAAGACCTTCATCAAGTTTGGGTAATTTAGTTTAGGAGTTTATATTATGTGTGTTAATACCTTAAGCTCAATATAATATACACACACACATTTATTGGTTTCCATGTATATATATAGTTATATATATACATATATGTTTTGGTTTGATAGTTTTCAAGTTTTACTATGAAACAATTAAATGTAATTAGAAAACATATTTTAGTTTCATACTTATATGCATATATATGATTTCATCAATATCAATTTTAGTTAGTTAAATGAAATCATGTTTTAGTGCATTATATGTGTATTTTGATAAAATACTACATTCATTGTTTATAGACTTCATAACAATAGTTTACATCTTTCTTCAAGTCTATAAAATCATTTTGTAAAGTTTCAAAAGTTGGTTTAGCCAAAATGTCAAAATTCACATGTTTACATTTTCGTGTTTTGGACTATTTTGCAAAATGATGATATTTTTCATTTGGGAAGTCCTTTTTCAAAACCAGTCGTTGTAGCATGTTTATTATCATGTCTACAATCATTCCCCAAAGTTTTACATTTTTTGGAATTTATTTGATATTTTTAAACAGCATTTTAAAACCAGCAAAACAGGTTTCAGTTTCTGTCATATCTGTTTTCGGTCGACCGTACCGGTCGACCGAACCTGAGTTCATATTCTCACTGGGCGACAGAGAGTCTGTCGGTCGACCGGTCCGGTCGACCGAAAGCTCCATCGGTCGACCGCACCGGTCGACCGAGTGTTCTCATCCATATTAGAGAACAATCATTTATTATAATTGTGCTTATTATGAGGATCACTTTGTAATACACTTATACACCGAGAGAAGTGTGTAGCAAGAGTCGGGGATCATTCCAAGAGGAGTGACGTCGGTTGACGAACCTAGGGAGAGGTTGTAACCGAGCACTTGAGGGAGACACGTCTAGTTCAACATTTGAGAGGGTGTAGAGTGGGATTGTAAGAGTGTGTAAGTTGTAGAGTTTTTGGTAAACTAGAAAACCGTATTGTGAGGTGTAAATGTTATTCGGATAAACATAGAAAACCCGGTTGTGATAGTGAAGATCTCCTCGAGGTGAGGAGCGGAGACGTAGGTCATGGGGATCGAACTTCGTAATCATATCGTTTGTTTGTGATTGCATTGACGCACTTATTTTTATGTTCATATCTTATATCGCCTTTGTATATTGCTTGTTGATTACTTTGCCCACTATCTAGTTTAGATTGGTTACCCTTGTGATTATATATCATTGCATATATCCCATAGTATATCTGTTTTAATCATGTTTGAATCATCTAAACACGACATGAACACATACAAAACCAGATTAAGAATCCGAAAAATCAGCCCACGGTCGATCGCCCTCTAGCGGCGGTCGATCGCGTGCAGGACCGAGACCCGGGTAAGCCCAGGAATCAGTCGCGGTCGACTACCGCATAATCGCAGTCGACCGCCAACTTGTAAGTGGCCCTGTGTATGTTTGTTTCGACTAGTTGAGTTTTCGAGCAAGTCTCTTGACCTTATACTGTTATGATACAATGTTTATGAGTTGTTTAACACCTGAGATGTCAGTAAACCCTAGATATGGACACACACACTAAGATACTGCACGAATGGTTAGAATATATTAACATATTTTTGTCCTAATTTAAGTTGATGAACATGAAGAGCATAGCATATTGCATTGTATTCCGGAATAGGGAGATAAAACCTATTTTCACAGGATGATTGAGTATGAGTAATACAAAAGTATTATCATTTCATTGTATTTCAAAATAGAGAGATAAAACCTATTTCCGCAGGGCGACTGGGTAAGAGTATCAGAAAAGTATCATCATTTTATTGTATTATGGGATAGGAAGATAAAACCTATTGCCGCAGAGCGGTTGAGTAAGAATATTACAAAAGTATCGCTATTGCATATGGAGATGCACACATGTAAGTTTTATTTGTCGTATTTTGATTTCATATTGGATTCCCGTGAGTAAGGTATTTTCTTTGTGATCGTGGCTCACATGATATGGCTCATAGTTGATTTTTGTTTTGGATGAGATCCCTCTTATGTTAGAGTTGTCTTTCTCGAGTATAAATTGAGATGGACATTTGTTTAAGGTTTGGAGTGTTTCCTTTTTGGTTTACTATTTTCATTCATAGGATTCGAAGTTGGTATTTAGGGAGTCACAATTTGAGACATGGTATATACATGAGGGTTTCCTTGTTTAGATTATTTCGCTCGACATACTAACTCTCGTGTTGTGATTTCCTAAATATTAATTTCCAGTTAGAATTTTATGAATGATTTCATATATATATGTATTAACTCTATTTTCTATATACTCCTACCCCTTCCCCTGGGGAGAGGTGGAGATGATCTCGCTATAGCGCTTTGACGCTCGTTGTTTTCCCCTCTTTCAGGCAGCGAGTCCGGTGCACGGAGAATCGCAGGTTGATGAGATTTTTTTATAGATTCCATCTTGTTATTATTGTTTAGTAGTTATTTTAGAACTCTACAGTTAGTTGTTTATGTTCAGACTTTAGACTTGTATTTTATTTTGTAGAGGCTGCGAGCCATAGTGATACTTTATTTGATTCTTTGTACTTGAGGTTTAGTTTAGACTCAGAGATATTTCTATCTTATTTTGTTTGGCTCACTGATGATTATTTTCATGCTTCTTCTGTGTATATCTAGTTTTGCTCTACTTCCATTATCTGCCTGTTTAGAACCTTCACATATTTGTTGACTCCACTAGAGAGATAGTGACTGTGATGGTGAAACATGTCATAGCATGGTGTTTGATGCTTGGTAGGTTTGATAATCTGGGTTTCACCTTGGACTGCAGCCTTGTGTGAACCCTGGGGTGTCACAGCTGGTATCAGAGCTCTAGTTCCAAAATCCTTAGGATCTGTTTGTTGGAAATTTAAAGTAAAAAGACAATGAAAGAAAAATTGACTTGTATTCCTCTCAAAATCGATTACAATTTGGATTCCGATTACAAAAGAGAGGAGAATGAATTTGATTCTCCCCTTTGTTTAATTCTGGGTTCTTCACGGTGGCGATGAGATGCCTCCCTCGAATGCTCGCGTCGAGTTTGCTTCTCGTTGACGATCCGAACGTCTTGATTCACTGGAACGATGTCTTCTCCTCACGATTTGACGCTGTGGAGAACTTGCATGGCAAGGGCAACACAGGAGGATGATATCGGCTTCGTTTTACTCCCGAGTAGAGGTTGATAGCCTCGTGGGAGACATTTGTGTACTTTTTTGATGAGTAGTATGTTTCGGCTGTAGCAAAAGCTGGGAATGAGTTAGAGCTAGCTCGATTGGAGCAGGGGGATATGTCGGTGACGGATTTTGAGAGAAAGTTCATGTTACTTCTTAGATTCACTGGCATGTGGCATACCAAGGAGAGGCAGGCTCAAATGTTCATGATGGGACTTCGCCCAGGTTTACGCTGATACCTAGTATCTCGGAGGTTCCTTCAGTGCGGGAGGTAGCAGATGCTGTCATAGCTCAGGAGACAGACACAACTATATTCATGAAGGGCAAAGATGGAAATGCTAAGTCAGGGAAGTTTGGGGATAAATGTAAAGGTAAGAGACCTTTTCCAGGCTCAGGAGGACCCCAGCAGCAGTGTAAGGGTCCACAGTAGCAGGGCCCCCCATAAGTAGGGTCATCAGCAGGATCAGAGGGCATAGCAGCATCACCGATTTCGTGAAGTTTGTTTCAACTACAACAAGCTCGGACATAAAGCAGCAGAGTGCCACAGCGCACCCACAACAGGCTAGTAGGGCAAGAATCAGCAGCAACAGCAGCATCAGAACCGCATTCAGGGTCGCGGTCAGGGTCAGCTGTTGAGGATAAAGGCACCTCTAGTAGTCCCGAGGATTGAGGGAGAGGTTCGAGCGATTCAGGAGACCCAGTAGGGATAGATAGTCCCATACGTTCCAGGCAATGCAGCATAGCAGACGGGTAGAGTGTATGCGGTTGTTCCTCGCGATCATGTCACGAGCGGGGCTATGGTGGAAGGTACATTCCTTGTGAATTTCTTTCCAGCACGTATTCTTTTTGATTCTGGTGCTTCACACTCTTTTATCTCCTATAATTTTGCGGTTAGACTTCAGCTTGTAGCGCAACCATTAGATTTTCCTCTATCGGTATCTACTCCTTTAGGAGAGATGTCTCTTTTAGAGAGTGTTTGTAGGAGATGTATTGTTAGCTTGGACGAGTCCGAGTTCGTGATAGACTTGATCATGTTGCATATGTCCGGGTTTGATGTCATCCTTGGTATGGATTGGTTGTCTTCCTACTATGTGAGTATCGACTGTTTTGTAAAGACAGTTAGTTTGCGAGCCTATGATGGATCTGAGTTAGTAGTAGCGACCTCCAGAGGCAACCAGTTTGC